AATTCCTCTCATATTTTACTATCCGAGAACCCCCTTTTCATTTTACGTCACTAAGTCCATCGCAAGAACAGAAAGTGCTTGAATGCTATAAACGTAGTCTTATGGTGATTATGTCATTTGATATGTCGGCTTCAGTGCGATGAACTATTTCTTGTATCGAATATGATGGGTTGGTGTATTTATATGTTGATATCCAACTATTGACAACGCGATTAAAGATGAAATTGCGTTAGCGTTGCATTTAATTAGCGCGTACACAATGCTGTGTTGGATGTTAAGGATACCATTAAATGAATTTTGATTGACCTATCGACAAACAGCATGACCAGGTATGTTGATGTTGAAGTAAACCAATATATACTGAGACATTGCAGAGGCTTACATATTGTTTGCTATATATTCATTACCAAGACTACCATCGTGCCAGAAACAGACGCCATAAACTCTAGCAACATATCGAAAAAACGGCAATCAGGAAAGCGTCAATATTTTTCACACATATGTACGCATGAAAACCTGTCATCTACAAACGTTACCTAGAACCCATGTATGCAAACCTGCATCTATGAAAATGTGTGGTCCTACCTTGTTTGTAATGTATGTGACTATTTTTTGATCTGCAGATTCCACAATACACTCAGTCTTGCGTCTGCTTCATACAAAATCAAAGTTTTGCTTATTTTACGAACAATACGATAAGAGAATCTAAACAATATTTAGACACTGGGTGTATAATCTGTAACTAAAAAAGCAAGCAATAACAAGCGTCCACAGAAAAGGACGCGAACTGTAAACAGCTCAAGCTACAATGATGACACGGATGCTTACTCGCGACGCGATAAGTTAAAGAAACAGATACGACGCGCATATACTGATCATGCGCCTCAATTTATTAACACAGCATCTTCTGGTGAAGTGATGGTATGGCAAATTCAATCAAGGACGTATGGAAAGCATGTATATCCTACAAAGTGACAATTTACACAACAATAAAACCTTATATACCCATACATATTCGAGTTTGTCTTGCTTACATCTCTATCACGACACTGTATAAAATCGTCTTCTATCTAGCAAGCGAGAATCTACGCATCCGTAATTACGCACAAACAACAACACCATTTTGGTTTAAGGTCGCTCTCAGGGAAGCATGCAAAGTATATGTGCGTGACTACAGTGCTGAATCCGCTTATGTGTTTGCAAACTTCAAGTATCTGACCCTTTATTGATTCTGATTTCTTGCGCAATTTGTTTCATTCCCAAAATCCAATTCTCATTTTTACATGCATATCGCTACTGATCACACGAAAAATGATGGCAGTTTTAGACTATTTTGTGTATGATCTTATGACTGCCGACTTGAAACCCTTGTAATAATTATAAATAGTCTTGCACTAACCTTGAACACAAATCATGTGCACGACCAGATAACGACAAGGCTTAAGTTATTAAAAACTTCTAGCCAATTAGAATACTTGACTTCGTCAATGCGCTTGTCCTGCTAACAACCTCTAAATGGGACCCACATTTTACGTCTTTCGTAATTGTATGATTATTCATCGGTATACAATATTCATCTCAGAGATAAAACTAAAAGTCTAGTAGTTGACTCAAGTTTGTTGATCGTCTGGCAGCATGTTATCATAAGTTGTCAAAGGAGTGTCGAAGTGTCGTGCTAGACCCGAAATGGTGGAAGACATAGTCCTTCTACCTAAAAACAGCCGCGGAACTTCCATGGGTTAAACCGTGCGATCACGTGACCCTTTGTTGGCGAAAGCGTGGCTCGTTTTTATTATAGGTTGATGACGTCTGAATGTGTGCGATGTATCACTCACGATGTTAGTAACTTTGTAGTGTGCAAACCAACACCCACTAATTGCAGACATTTATGTGCGTTGTCTTATAATTGTCGACCGCTATTATGTGCGACAGGAAATTCACGTGGCTTGCGACTTTGGCTCTATACATAGAGTTGTAATAGAAACCTTTCATTGCATAAGTACTGTCTACACTGGTATGTGAACTGATATGATTTTCAGAATGCTGACTTTCCTATTGCTGTTGCCTACTCGTGGCTTAAAGCCTAAATTTTGCGCAAGCCCAGAATGATGAGACGAAAGAGCATTTATATGATCATCGAAACGCTGGCATAGATACTCAAATTCAGTTGCGAGATAGGCTTCACTACAAGTCAAAAAAGGCAACTTTAGACGCGTATCTTGGTAGTACGATATCAGCAGCGAGAGGAGCTCGCTGATCTTGCTTGCTTTTCAGTAGTGTAATTTATACTACAGTAATAAAGAATAAGCAGTGACAGCATTCGACGCGTTGCATCAGTCCATGTCTATCGATGAGGCTTGTAACGGGTTGCCCCGTTTCTTGAAAGGTATTATTGTGTGTAATGATAATTAAGAATATTACATTGAGTATTCTTTTAGCAATATCACGAATTATAGTAATATTGTTGAGATCACCCAAGATTCTACTCATTGATGATATTGTGCTTATATCATCAACCCATCAATCGCTGATAGACGCGCGCAATGGGTGGTGAGTTGACGTCATCTTGCGTTTAGTTGAGTTGATGCAATTAATTTAGGAAAAACAGAGAACAAGAGTTACACGACTTTATCGTATCAAATAACAGTTTTACTTTTGCCCTACTAAACTAAGTTCTTTGGTACCTAGTCTTCTTCTGAGCGCGTACGGCGTACGTGCGTTAACAAGGGCAATATTTCTTACTGCATTCAGTGATAACTTACTACGCACTGCTGTCAATGCGTAGTTCCAGTGCTCCGTTACAAGGCTCAACACAACATACAAACTTGTAAGCTGACCAAGTGTGCTGTGTTTGACACGTGATTGATGCGAGAAATAGTAGTGTGAGTGATTTGGGGTGCGCGAAATGGTTGGGTTGATGGTAAGAGGAGCCCCAATAGCTCAGTGGTAGAGCACCCGCTTAGTAAGCGGAAGGTCAGTAGTTCAATCCAGCCTTGGGGCAGCGTTGGCACACAAACAAGTGCTTATCTGGCCGCATCGACACTGCCTTTTGCTTCGAGAGAGTGTCAACAAATGTCGCTTTGTACTCGCTCGTCAAACGTTTGACACATGCAACTAATTAAATAAATCTAACGAGTCTTTGCTACGGCAATGTGCATGAAGCTGTACAAGAGAAGGGGCTACGTCACACAACAGCTGTCTTTGCTTTCGCTGTACGAGATACATGTGTCCCCAAATATACTTTCTCTTGGTGTGGCAGTCCACCAATACCGTTTCAGGATGTAGCGGCTATACGGAGTAGCGATTTTCTCGAAGTTTCCTGCTACGGTCGTTCTGGCCTCGCTTACGATTGATCAAGACGACCGATCATCCCTTGCATAATCTGATGCTACCGTATGCCACATTTGACCCTACAACCCGCTATTAAGTCTCTTACAGCATGGCTGTATCTCGATGTCTTCACTCCTGCAAGTTGAACGAAGCAGTTGAGATACGGCTTCTTAGCAATGTAGACTCTATTAGACCAACATAGCTTCTTCAGTTGTGGTTAACATCACGTGGGAACGCCATAGTTATGTGTGTATTCTTTCACCCTTGAACTGCTTCGACTTCCGCTTCTCATGCTATTGACGCGGACTCCTCACGAACAGTTTCGTACGCATTCTGTGTCACCATAATCCCCCAGCTTTGTACTCAGCGCAACGCCAACTAGTTGAGACGTCGCCCCCACTCGCTAACTCAGCTTGCGCTGATCCTAAGATCGCTCTTGACAACCTTTTCTGTATATCCACAGCAATAATCGATTTCTGCCCGTGCCTTCATCAGTCATTAGGCCTCTTGTATACCGAGGGCAATGCACGAATCGTTTTGCGCGGATTCCCGCGTATTCTCGCTGATAAGTTGTTACAACTATCGTATCTATCAATATCAAATGTGCCAGATTAAGTGCTATATTTAACATCCGTTCACAGCAGACGATTACATCTACTCGTCTGCCAACGGGCATTTATATATGCACACGACATGCCATACTGATGTACAAAATCGAGAGTTTACAAGTACAGCAGAAATACCTTAGCTCCTTAGCTAGAATAAGGTATTGACGGCTTCAACAGCTACAAAGTTTTGCGGAACTAAGTGAGCGGCTTGAAGTCTATTTAGTGCTAAGGAACTAAGTGAGTTTAGAATAAGAGTCAGATGAGATCGTAGAGCTCTCTATATCTTGTTTAAGGACATCGTAATCCTGCGGGTCACATTACACTTAGCGCCCAAGGATATATGCCTTGAACGGTCTCTTACTGTAAGCAATTGGAATGCAAGCTTAGAAAGGCAGGAAGCGCTACGATATCCAAAGAAACTTTCTACTTATCAAATCAAAAAAACACCCTATCCCACCTATATCCGAATTAATAAAATATACATTTATAACTACTACCAGAGGGATTTTCATCTAACGGCTGACTCAATTAGCTCCTAAAAACGGATAGCGTACGATCGGTATTAATACTGAGAGATTATTATCCGTGGTGGATCTTACATAGCCTTACCGGTTTATTCCCCGACGTACTACCCCGTTTCACTGAGTGTCAGTCAAGACAGCCGCCCTTATGATTGCGCCATGCCTAGTTTACGCAAGGGTATCGGCAAATGACTCTGAAGTAGCAAATGGAGACTCACCTCTCCGCCATCCGACCAACTTGTTAAATCTGCTTGTAAATTATTGCTTCGAGGTACCGCGTCTCTTCGCGGGCGTTCGGCAGAAGCGCGTCTTCTTCCAAGTAGCACTTCTCGGTGACTGAAGGAATATGACCGCACGGAATGTGTGAGGTATGGCGAGACAATTCTGACCACTAATTTAACTGATACGGTCAGTCGGCTGGTTTCTGTGCCCGCGGATCAGTGTACCCACCATCGCGGACGACAGACGAGCCCCACGTTGCGACTCGTTGGCCTGCATTCGCCCCATTTTAGAACTCGCTGGCAAGCACCCGAACTCAAACATGCGCGTGGTGTACCTTGTCTCGGCCGTCAGCACCTTTGCCCTGGGACGTGCAGATTCGCTGATCAACGGCGGCCAAGCAATTGCTACTCACGGCATTTCAAGCACTGATTCCCGCCTTCAAGAGATTGTGGCACACTCTGCCGCGTCGAGGCTTCTTCAATCGAATGACTCTGTGACTGGAGTAGCCCTCAAGGAGGAAGACAGCGAATCGCGGGTGATTATACCTATACCGTCTTTGCTAGTTCCTGACGCATGGGTGACAAGAGAGGCAGAGGTGTGGCGAAAGGCTCGTCTTAGCTCCGACAAAGTCTTCGACCTTGCTAATGTCCAAGGCATACTCGGCAACGGCCTAGCCGCTGATCAACGATCCCTCATAATCTGGCTGGAGCACGTTAAGTGGCTCAGAGAAGAGGCCGAAGCAAAGCACGAGAGCGCTGTCAACAAGTTACTGAAACACATGTCACGGACGAGGGTGGTGAAAAAATTGGTAGAGTTGCTGGATCACGCGACCATCAGAAACAATGTTAGGGCAATGCTGAGGATTGCAGCCGGCAGACTTCCTACCGAGTCGATGGTGATCCCTAAGAAGATGCTCGAGATGAAGATGGCCCCTCAAGAAGCGTTGGATGCCCTCGACCTAGCTCGCGCCGGTGCGCTTCGTGATCACCCTTTTTTCGCGATCCAGTGGGTCAAGTACACGATCCTGCTACGGACAACGAGATTGGCACAGCTTAAGAGAGAGAAGGCTTTCTCTGTTCCTCTGTTTGGCAAAAACTTCAACCTTCCGTTTACAAAAGCGAATGGAGAGACGATGGTTCTTTCCATCGAGAAGGCGTCTGCGCTTTTGTTTAAAAACAAAGAGCCAGAAGAAGTGAACATCTTCATTAATTTGTGCAAGAAAGCCTTTTCCAAGGAGGAAATACCGCCGATCGTAAAAGTACCTGACACGACACCGCATTCGGATGTCCTAGAAGAGTAGACGGTCGTTGGAACATGCGACTTCGATCACTCAAAGTCTACGGAGACAAGCGGGGAGGTGGTACAACATAGTTGAAAGGGGGTCGCTTATTGGAGGAGTAGCTGCTATAATGATAGCTGCGTTGTAGTTGACCTGCACGTCAACTTTGCACATAATTTATAGCTCTTACAAGTTTACACATCAATGCGCTTTGCCACAGCTTGTTGTCGTGACGCTTCTTACCGCTCTTGATCAGTACTTGCCACAATTCGATGGGGTCGTCCCACAAGTGGTTTAATGGACCAACAAGTAGCTGCAACAGAGAGACCCCCCGATGGACGAAAGTGGCGATACAGCGCATAGATACGCTTCAGCTCCTGCAGGTTCCCCCGGTTGTCGCGTTCTTGCAGCTTGACGGCACTCGACTTGTAAGCATGCACAAGACTCTGCTTCTCATTCACTCCCTGCGAAAACAGCACGCAGCGCACGTGAACGGTGCCGTCACCCGATGCCAGAGACTGTGGCAGCACAGACATGTGGCTATTGTCGATACCTATTGTCAACAGAAAGCAGTGATGATCGTTCGCGGTGGACCCCGGCGGCGTATACTTTCGCAACGAAAAGAACGAACCCGTGGTCGGGTGCCGGCGGAACTGAATAAATACGTTGCGCAACCATCGCGCCCCCGCAGCAAAGTCCTCCAGCATGCCGTACTCTTTGCCTTGGGTACTCAGCAAGGACTCGAAATTCATGAGGTAACCAAACTTTGGGGCACGATCGAGCTGGGCTTGATGCAGAGCGCTCCCGTTGAGCGCCAGGTCCAATGAAGCAAGTACACAGGCCGCTGTCGCCGACAAAATCTGGCTGCCAATTACAGACAAACGGTCCTGGAGCTCAAGGCGCAGCTTAAATGCTGTCAATGTATCGTCACATTGTACCGCAGACCCGTTGCTGTTTCCTCCTTTGGAAGCTGACACCGGGGAAGTCGGTCTCTGGGAACTGCCTTCGTACTTGCTGTCCAGACCGTCACCATCTACCGCACCGTTCGGGCTGGCTCTTCTAATCGGAACAGAAGCGGTGTAATTGGTAAAGCCTGATACCTGTAATTGATTTCAGATTAGGTCAATTAGAACCTAACCAACTTCATAATACTCACAGATATATACCTTATCATGTAAATATTGAACTGATACTATTGTCGAAGATTATTTTCAGCACCGCTCCACTTATTGATCGAGTGGGACAATCATTTCAATTAAATGAACGACCGACCGCTGGTAAATGCGCGCAAAGGGTGGTGAGCGAGTAGCTACCTTTCATTTTGTAATTTACTCTAGTTGAAGAAAAATCAAAAGAAAATCCAATAGGAATATGGGATTATAAAAAATATACACCAAGATAAATAACAGATAAAATATTGTACCACAAGATCGAAAAATACAAAAACTATACTAAGCCTGTTTTTTACAGGGCAAAGTGATACACCCTCTATGAATCAAATAGCTACAGTCACTTTTGGCAATATAGACTATACTGCCACGCGGCAAACTATTGATGCACCGCCTCTTCTACCTTTTGTTAGCCACACATCACCACTTTTGATTTTGCGCACTTTGGATGGAAAGCGACGACGAGAAGAAGCAACCCAGCAGCTTTTTCGAAAAAAGGTGATAAAGAAACAAAATCGACATTATTCAAGCTGTAATCGAGTACTACCGAAAGTGGAACCGGCCGCATCGTGTTGTCTTACATGATAAGCGACGTTACAAAGCTGCGTGCACTGTTCGATCGTGGCGCAGTTTGCCTTTTAACAAACATTTTGCCCTCTAACTATTTTTTTGCACTCCTGTCAAGTATCGGGATCATCCAAAGCGTCTCGTAGATATGCAACTGCGAGACAAATTGCTGTAAACCCTGCAGCCCGATATACGGCCATGGCCTTCGGCAGGAAAGAGACACCCGTGACGATCCAAATGAAGTTGAAGGAGTGAAAGAATTTCCGCCTTCTATATGAACTGTGTTCATGCGCCTAAGAAGTTAATGCTCTAGATATTAGGCAGTGATATTGAGCAATACAACCTCATTCTATCCTATACAGTTGAACTAAATGATCGAGATCACATAAAGAAGCTCCAAATTGTGGATGATGAGTTTGTGCGATTGTGTATTATTTTCCGAGAAGGGCTGCAAGCTTGTAAGCCATACAGCGAGCGTGGGGTGGTCGTGGATGGCACCTTCCTGAATACTTCTATCGGTGGGGTCCTACTGGTGGCTTACTTTCGCAATAATAACAACGAGATCCAGGTTTCTGAAGTCAGTAATGTCTCGGTGGAGAAGGAAGATACTTACCTCTGGCCATTATATTTCCAAGCAACTTTAGCATTCGTCATATCGGATAGGGACAAGACACTTATGAATGCGTTGACGACAACTGTGCCAGACGTCCCTCACTTTTTTTGTTTTCGGCATCGGATGGAAAATATTATTATGAGATAGAAGTAGAAGAAGTTAGATAATTTGACGTGGATGTTCGCTCGCTCACGGACACAGGTTGCGTACGAGAAGGCGGAAGCGGACATCGCCAGCTTTGATATAGGTGCGTCGGCGTGGCTTCAAGATGTTGGCCCTGAAAAGTCTTCAAAAGAGCACTTCCCATGTCCAAGATACCACGCCTTGACATCAAATAACGTGGAAGCTGTAAACAGAGGGTTCAAGAGTATTCGAAGTCTTCCAATCATCGACTTCTTAATGGAGATTGAGCATTACGCGGCGAGTAATTGGGCTAACAACTTACGCAAAAAGAAACGGTGGGGGGTCCTAACTTCATATGCATCTCGCAAGGTGATCAAACCACTGGCTGCTGTGGCGTGGGGTAAAATTGAAGTAGGCTCTACCTCATGCTTTGTTGTCGAAATCTGGATGGGGGTGAAAGTCAATCCGGTGAAGTTTGTAGTTGTATTTTGTGACGCGTTTGTTCGATGCTCGTGTGGGAGCTTCAGGGGTGTTGGGTCCCCTTGCGTTCATACTCTTCTTGCGTTTCGGCACACTGAATACTGTCCAAAATGATAGCTTATATTCATGAATCGTGGAAATCAAAGACATATGAAGCAGCCTAATATGAGGTATTAGAAGGTAAGATATTGTCGCTTGTGTTGAAAGATGCCCTGACATGATGTGTGTACACCGCCCCGTCCATTTTGAGAAAGAGAGGGATCCCAGAGAAGAAGCGGATCGCATCTAAAATATTAACTGAGGAAATTGGATAAGCGCCAAACCAAAAGATGTGGAATGTGCAAACAATTCGGTCGCAATCGTAGGACCTGTTCAAGCGTAGCCGCCCGGTTGAATTCTACGTCGTCGCTATTAGATTTTGCATACTGATCAGATTATTTTCCAAGACAGATTTTTTCTCGCTAAAAATGAACAGTCCTGCAATGTATAATTGAAGGAGACACGGAGTTACACTATCGTGACGTAGGTGAAAACATGCTTTGTATTAGTAGAACTTCGTTAAATATTCCAGTATGAAATAAGAAGAATGTTTAATTTGCCGATACAAAACAGGCTTGGTATTTTCTTGTATTTATCGATCTTGTAGTACAATTTTCTGTTGTTGAATGTCTTGAAATATATTTACAGGGAATTGCTAAATTCACACCCCTTTTCCTTAGATTCACACCCTTCCTTCAAAATCTTAGATATACAAGGTACGCAATCACCGTTGGACAAAGAAGAGTACTTTCTCTGCCACTTGGCTACGGGCGGCATCTTGCGCGCTGCTGTAGCTTCTGGAACCGACATAGGCAAAAAAGGCCAAACCCGCGATGAAGTCGGGCGCACTTGTAACCGACGAGATTGTCGTCGGTATCAATAAGGACGCCATCAAGAGTTCGGGATGCCGTCGTGGCTTTATTCTTGACGACTTTCAACGAACGGTCGTGCAGACCAAAAAGGTGAGAACAAGAGGAGATACAGACGAGTGTCCAGGTTGCAACGCAGAGGCCACCCATAGTTCCCTCTTTTTGTATGCGTAGTCCTCCCGACTGGCATACTCAACCTCGGGAGGAGGAATCATGTTATTGCGTGGTGTCCTATCAGTAAACGCTGGAGGAGCTAGACCATTGGGCGTGAGTAGTATCTTATGTATTTCTTACGTTTTAATTGCCAATTAATGGCCTAGATAATTGAGTAATACCTTTGCCAGAAATCAAATCTCAAAATGAATAGGGATTTTATATATAATATTTTGAAGGAAGGGTGTGAATCTAAGGAAAAGGGGTGTGAATTTAGCAAATCCCTATATAAATGGTAAAATTAGTCACTTGATAACAAAGCATTGTGCAATCACAACCTGTTTCAAAGCAGCGCCGGTTGATAAAGACTGAGAAGAATTATATCATACGTTTGAAGATTTATAAATAATTGCATTTATGGTTCATTAAGAACATTGGAAAATTATAACAGTGCGTTTTACGCCTTGGTAGCTACAAGCAACCTGGATGGGGCGACATATTGGGCGTTCGTGCACACTTGAATAAATTATGTTTTGGTAGGAGCACCGATTGCACTTAAACAGAGTTAAGTTTAGAATTAAACAGAGTTAAGTTAAGAATTAAGCATCTTGTAAAAGAGATCTTTACCGCACGATGATGATAGAACGCAACCTGTTAGGGTCTAAACAGTTAAATCATGCTCCCTCGAAGAATGGTTTTCATTCTAAGATCGATTAATTAACGAGTAGAACGGGGCAATCGAACTACGCACTGACTGTCAGTGCGTAGTAAGCTTTCACTGAATGCAGTAAGAACTAGTGACATTGTTAACGTACGTACACTGTACGCACACAGAGAAAGACTACGTAACAAACGACTCAGTTTAGTAGAAAGATAAGTAAAACTTTATTGATATAGCAAGTCTTGTCGATCTCCTACTTCGTTACTTGCCTCAACTATATGAATGCCAAACCATGTATATGGATGACTACTCACCACCAATTGCGAGCGTCTACCAGCAACCTGTGAATATATATCCTCACAATATAAACCAATTATTAGACCTTTGGGTCATCTCAACAATATCACTTTAATTTGTACCATTGCCAAAAGAATATTTAATAGAATATCATTTATTACCATTTCGCAGATTGGTAACTTATATGTAAAGAGCTACCCCGTTACATCACTCCTCCCCTTAAATCATGGTCACTTTGTGACTATCGAAATTTGGTGGCCACTCGTAGGTTATGATTGGAACAGGGAGCACTTGCTAGGTCGGATCTAATCGATCTGGTCTTGCCTCGCATAGTTAAAATGTATATGAGATGTGACTCAAAGACGGCACGGCATGGTGCTGAGCAAGCTTCTACGGCAGACGACGCGTCGTGTGCCGTATCTTCTTTGCCTGCGTCGTCTGTTCTTGCAAGGCGCATGTGGTAACACACCACGTGGTCTCGATGACTTCGAAGTGGGTGTCATCTAATCTGGCGAGTCAGACGTGTCTGTCTCGGGAAAGGTTTCAGAGTCGTTCCGATCCCCCGCGGTGCGTCTTGATTCATCAAAGGCTCTGCCTAACAAATGGACTCGTGACTCGCGTAACAGCCTGTTCACATGTAAGGAAGAGTACGGTGGTGAGTATAATTACTCATCACCACAGTCGAATCGTGCGTCTACGCACGAGTGTGCTGAAGATGTATCGAGACGTCGTCAATGTGAGCATCGTGATACCGACGATATACCACGTTGAAGCGTAGTAAACTTAAGCTGTGGCGCTTACCCTAACGGCTCGTCAAAAGCTTGTCTCACAAGACGAGCTAGCACCATCGAATTCTTTCATTCGGTGCGAGCGAGCATCATGGCTTGTCCTTGAGCGCGAGCAACTCTCGCGCTACAAAGAATTTTATCTCGATGCTTTTCGTAAGTATTGATGATACAATAGCAACTAAAAGCGTGGTAAGAACTTTATTTTCGCGGCGTGGATTGCGTTTGTCCAAAATATTACGACATTTGGACGTGAAGCGCGGCTTCAAAAATTGAGGCTCTACGCTTCCAGTATGATATACGAACTTTGACCTTTGCGAGGTGCCGGTTGCTTCACATATTGAATGAGGCATGCATTACTTGCATTACATAGGACGACCCTTGTGCGAGCTTTATTGACAACACACAGCGTGCTCAAAGGAAAATGTTTTCCCTAAGTCCGCCCTGTGAAAGGGCTCACATTTCGGATGCGATGCGGGACGCGATTGCAAACTTGCAGTCCGTCCACAAGCGCCAAAAAAGCGTGTTTACTGATGGGCCCGAGGACTCATCGGATTTTTCTCA